TGGTCCATTTGTAAGGATTTTTGTTTTCTTTGTGTTCAGGTGTAATCTATACTGAAGGCTGCTGTAATCTCTGATACTCATTAGTAAGTGCTTCAAGTCTTCTTCGCTTTAGCAAGCAAGGTATCGATAATCACCCTCATTAGGATTCTGAGGATAATTGGCCATGAGCAAAGACCAATCTGTAGGAATTTTGGGGGGAAGGAGTGGATACAGGATATGTTTAAGAGGAGGAGGAGGAGGGTGAGAGAGTACCTCTGGTCCTAGCAGCTTCGGCAGCCCTTCTCTGGCATCTCATTCTGCGGAGTTACTGTCAGTCAGGGCAGCTCTCAGAGCAGAACGTTAGGTACCGGCAGAGTGAAACTGGTGTTGTAAGCATCTCGGAATTCAGGTTATTGCTCTCTTGAGTGCTCTAAGGCTTCCAGGGAAGGCTTACTGTAGAGTCTGGAAAAAGGCATCCCTTCCCCTGCACAGGAGAAGGTGGAACATCACCAACCCGCCAGACAGACCCTTTACAAAAGGGCAGGCGTCCTGGGGGCTCACACCTGAATGGGACGGAAGGGCAACAGCCTGGAATCCTGAAGAAGGAGCCTTTCTGTGAAATCTTGCAGAGGCGGCATGTTTGTCAGCTTTGAAGAGGGACCGGTTGGTCCACAACCCTGAATACCCTGGCGATGCCCTCTTTAGTGGCAGGCAGCATCCCCACGTCAGCCTTCTCTTCGAATCTTTTCCTGTACCTTCCATGCGACCGCAGAAACATCCAGGGTTCCTCACTCCTTTAAGAATCAGAATAGATTTGGCCTCAGGTGGTTTTGTTTCCTTTACCCAGTGATTGAGAAATTTACTGAAAATACCAGATTTTGCCTCATCTGTAACTATCTGTCGAAGATCATCCCTGCCTTGCAGTCACGGTGTACGAGGTTCCGATTCGGTCCCCTGACTCCTGAACTGATGGTCCCCCGCTTGCAACATGTTGTTGAAGAGGAGAAGTGAGTATACTGAAAAGCTGGAAGGGGGAGGGTGTTGGGGATGGGGTATAGTGTATGGGGCCATGGGGTGCCTTCTTTAAATGAGGTAAAGCTTGTAGATTACTGAGCACAGCACCTGGCACAGAGAAAGCACAGGGGGCCGTTAGCTGCTCTCACTTTCTCTGCTGTCTCACGGACATTGCTCCTCATAAGTCATTTGCTGCTTCTCTTGATTTTTCTCCATTCCATCCTCCTCCCCTGGAAGCAGTTCGGATTTTCTCCTGCTCTTCTTTTGTCACTGGAAACTGCATGCTGTCAGTTCCCTTCTGCACCATGCCTCTTGCTTTTCTGACTAGAAGGGAAGGTTCTGAGACGTTCAGTTCTGTGCAGTCAGATGCCAAGCAAATAGCCGCCCCAAGCTGCTGCTTTTAAAGGCAGGGCTTCAGCACAGGGATTGTGTCCGGTGCTCTTGCCTCACCGAGAGCTTAACTCAGACCGTTCCTCAGCATAGGAAGGCCTACGCTTGAAGATGGGTCTTTCTAGATTTGGAGGGGGCTGTGATTGCTTGGGAGCCCTGGTGGCTCTGTGGTTAAAGCACTGGGCTGCTAACCAAAAGATCAGCCGTTTGAACCCACCAGCTGCTCTCTGTGAGAAAGATGACTCAGTCTGTTTTTGTAAAGATTTACAGCCTCTGAAACTATGTGGTAGTTCTCCTCTGTCCTGTAGGGTCACTGTGAATTGGAACTGACTCAATGGCAGTGGGCTTAGTTTGTTTGTTTGGTGATTGCTACGTGAAGCCTGAGTCCCTAGAAACTGGAGTGAATTCTAGACTGTATAGATCAGTAGGGTATTGTTAACTCCATTCTTTCTTCATTAGCCCAAGTCATCTTGTTTTCCTGGTGTATGTATGTCTTCTCAGAAAACCCAAACCTCCTGTCATGTCAATTCCAATTTAGAGTAATGTAGAGAACAGAGTAGAACTGCCCCGTAGGGTTTCCTAGGCTGTAAATCTTTATGGAAACAGACTGCCACATTTTTCTTCCACAGAGCAGCTGATGGGTTCAAACCACTCATTTTTTGGTTAGTAGCCAGATGTTTTAACCACTGCACCACCCAAGGTCCTTGTAGCCTTCTCCAGGGGCCTCTAACTCCCTCTGCCTATTGTCTTTCAGCGTTGACATAAGTGAAGATGGGATGAAAGCCCTCATCACTCTTTCCAGTGGAGATATGAGAAGGGGTCTGAACATTTTGCAGGTAACAGTCTTAACTTGTAGTGAATCTCAAATCACTAGTTTGGAATAGTTTTTCTGGAAGGACGTAAACGACAGCACCACCAGTGTACAAATTCAGAAATCCAGAACTCACGAGCCCTTGTCTCATAATACACCCCCGTGTTTTAACGAGTTGAAAGAATTTTTTGCAAAGACGGAAAAGATAGGGAAGGCCCATTCGGCTGCACCACAGGTAACAAGCAGCAGTACTTCTGCTGAAGCCCCCTTGCCAGCGTGGAAATGACGTCCAGGCTGACCTGTGCCCGTGCTCTGCCGCCACAATCTCCTCTTAGCTGTGCTGGTGGCTTGGCTGCTCCTGTGACAGCCGCTGGGATCCTCCCTGTCTGCACAGAGCACCAATATGGCCTTCGGGAAGGTGACAGAGGAGACCGTCTACACTTGCACGGGGCACCCGCTCAAGTCCGACATCGCCAACATCCTGGACTGGATGCTGAATCAAGACTTTACCACAGCCTACAAGAGTATCCTTTGTCATGGTCTCCCGACAGCACACTAGATACCTGAGGGGGCCCCGGGGAGCACAGGCCATAGCCAGCACCCACACCCTGCAAAAGATAGGTCGAGCGTGACTGGTTAGCTTGCCATGGGAACAAGGTGTCTGGAGCTAGAGTGAGTGCTTGTAATAGCCTAAAATTCTTCCTTGAAGAGCCCTGACTTGGGCGAGGACCCTGGGAGGGAGGATGCAATAAACCAGAAAAAGCAGCATCAGGCCCAATATGTAGTCATAGTGCACTTAAAACTGTCTGCAGTGTTGTTCTGAACACGCTCCCTTTGCCTTAACTGTGCTTCTCTAGATATTATGGAGTTGAAAACACTGAAGGGGTTGGCATTACATGATATCCTGACGGAGATACACTTGTTTGTACACAGAGGTAATTCACGTCGTCCCCTAGTTTGGAAGCAATGGAGCAGAAGGCCTGCTTGGAGTTGAGGGTGGCTAGAAAGAGCACACAAGGTTTCACTCTTGAAGCCGAAACGGGACACAGAACTATAAAGCTAGCCCCTTGTTTTTAGCAGGTTCGTCTTGCTACTGTTGAAAACCCTGTTCTAAAAACACTGTTTTTATAGAACTACTGGGAATAAAGTACCAAAAAACTCCTGAAGGCAAACATTTCCCCCCTCCAGGGGTTTGTGTTTTACAGTTATAAAATACATTGTTTTAATTCACATTTCTACAATATTTTCTGAGAGGGAGAAGGTCTGTCTGTGTGTGAACCAAAAGCAGTCTTAAATAATGAAGTTTCACACTTGGTCCTGTGGTCTACACAGAGAAGTGGTTCTCAGCCAGGACAGTGCACAGGACTTACCAGAGCACTTCAGCTGGCCTGGGAGTTGGGAGGGGGGCAGGGACGTGGGCAGTGAGATTTTTCCAAACTCCTGGTGATGCACTGTGCAGCCCTGGGGAGAAGTGCTTTCCTCCACACACACAGCCGAGCAAAGGGAGAGGCCCCATCAGGTCCGTGACTGGTTCTGCCCACACCTCCGCAGGCTCTTCCTGCTCGCGTCTGCCCAAGACCGTGGGTGGCCACGCCCACTCCTGCCCCTTGATTGAGTATGAACTGATTTTACAAAATCGTTTGTATTTTTAAAACTGGGACAACTGCAAATATCTTTTAAGCTGTAAAGTCCTTGCCATCCAGTTTTAAAAGCACTATCAATTGCTATTGCACGTTCTTGCTGCTTTTTTCTTCTGCTGCACTGTGAAGAATCACAGAATGGAACAGGTACAGTATAGAAGACTGCCCCATTTTTACTTTTTTACAGGTTGTCTGGTAATTAGCCTAAGACTCAAGAAATTGTGTTAACTAATTGATGTTTAAACTCATACTTGTCTTCTGTGATTTTTTTTTTTTTTCCAATGGGATAGAGTGGCATCTCTCACTCACTTAATTGTATTTTCCTTCAGTTGACTTTCCATCTTCAGTTCGGATACATTTATTGACCAAAATGGCAGACATCGAGTGAGTACTTATTTCCCCATTTTTAATTCTTTTCTTCCTTTATTCTGACAAGGGTTTTTGTTTCTACTTACTTGATTTCAATTGTTTGCTTTGTCTAAATCACCCATATGTTGTATAAGCAAGTGCTTGGTGGTGGTGGTGCATGGAAGGGTGTTGAGTTGCTTAGTTAAAGAAGTGAAGCAGACACAAAGGACAGGTCCCAGTCAGTTTCACATGTGAAACAGGGTTCTTTCCTTAGGCCTGCACAGCCTGGCCAAACATTGATTTGGAAAGCCCCTTGTTACTTGGGGGCCCATTTCAGGCAGATTTTCAGTTCTCAGCATCTATGTCATCTGGGGTTGACCATCCATCCAGCTGTTAAGACATTTTGGCATACTGACGCCTATGGGGGGAAAACCCCATTTTCCATTTTGCCTAGTTAGTTAGGTAAACACTCTTATTAGCCCCACTGGAGCTGGCAGCTGTCGTTCAAGTAGACAAAGCACTGGCTTCAAAATGGCTGTCCACATGGGCCCACTCATCTGCTGGTCATTGGCTTTGACATCGACAGATTAGGTCACTTCTTTTCATATAGTGAATATTACGTATTGCATTCAGTGGCTAGACACCCTGCCTTACTGACAAGACACAGAACCAGAACCACAGATGTCAACTAAAATTCCCAGTGAAATGTCTTAGTTAACAGGAAGGAAACCCTAATTAGAATTCCTCTCAATCCATTTTACAGATGAAGAAATAATCCTTAATCACATAAATTCTGCAGATGTATATACAGTCACAACAAAGTTAGGTTCAGAACATACTGCTGGTAACTAATCCTTTGTGGGTCGTTTCCCTCCCAAGTGTGAGTGAGATTATAAATCAGTGTTTGAGGGCAGGATGACAGTATTATGACACATGAAAGCTTTCTGTCCAGGGTCAAGTGTTACATTACCCATCCCCCTTCAACAGATTGCAGTCTGTGATCCCCTGTCAAAGGGCAACTATGTGTAGTCATCTTTATTCTCTTTTGTTCATTTTAGGTACAGACTTTCTCTTGGCACCAATGAGAAGATTCAGCTGAGCTCCCTCATTGCTGCTTTTCAGGTCACCAGAGACCTGATTGTCGCACAGGCCTAGATGCCAGGGCACATCTGCTACAATCCTCAGGGTCCCACAGGGACCACAGACCAGAGGACTCAGTTATGGGACAAAGTGCTGCTCTAGCCAGCATACCGCCACGGTCACCCCAAGTCTTGGAAAACTCCATCCAAGCTTGGGTGGGCATACATCAGAAAGCCCTGTGTGTGTGGCAGTTTGGAGCAGAGATGTACAAAACAGTTGCAATGTTCAGCTGTCTTACTGCACTGATCATTTTACAAGAGGAAATAAAACATGTCAGCCTTAAGGCTTTCACCTATCGATTGCTTGGCTGATGTGACCGGAAACTGGCCTACCCCATTCTGGTTTGGAACATAAGGTTTTCAAATCTAACGTGGTCCACATGTCTTTCAACCTAGGTAAACAGAATCTCTCTAAAATTCACTTCACATATATAATCTCGACACTGTGTCTGTATCTACTTTAAATAGGTGTTAATGGATTTCTGGGCAGAACTATTATAAAGCCGACTCAATTCTCTTACTTTAAAAACAGGACTTTTTATTTCTCCTCGAAGTAGAGTTACCAGCAGCTTCCTAGTTGTGATGTAAACTGTAGAAAAGAAAAAAAAAAATTCAGTATCACAGAGCTAGCCTTTAAACTATGCCATGGGGGACCAGGGGTGGTACAAAGCTCCCTTGTTAACGCAGCACGAGGTGACAGCCTGGCTCTGACCCGGGCACTGCCGGGGACCACAGACGTGCAGCAGCTTACTTTACTTTATTTACAGCAGTTAGGCTGTGTTTATTTCCACTTTCTTCACACTCGGAAACAAGTTTGTCTCCTAAGTGACTCTTCCTTTAGCCAGTCATGAAGGTGCTGGCTCACTTGTATTTATACTAAGGCCTCCTCCACCTCTGACATCAGAATAAACTCCACGCGAGGCTATTCTTTACCGGGGGGTTCTTCCAGGCCAGGGACCTGTCTGCGCTTTCTGTCACACTTGCTCCCTTGCGGCACCAGCAGAAGCTTGGGGCAATGGCTGAGTGGGGCTGTGCCAGGAAGGCCTCCATGGGTCTCAGGCTATACAGTATGTTCTGTGTCAGGATAACCATAAAGTAAAATACTCATTCCCAGCTAGCTTGTATTAAGAGGTGATTTTGTTTTTTCCTTAGTGGCAAAAAATGAAACAGAGCCAAAGCTTTTGTTTTTTCCCTTCAATGAAGGCCTCACGTTTTGAAGAGAAATGTTTTTCTTCGATAACAAAGGTGACACAGGAGGGTCCTCTACTCTGAACAATTGTCTAATGTTAACTGGTCTCCACAAAGAACCCATCAAGAAAGGCAAAGGATACAGTATTGCATTTCTTTTAAAATAATTTAAAATATATTAAATTTCCTAAGGCAGATTTTGCTTGAGCGAGGTGTCCTGACTGGGTAACTGTACACCAGTGAAGGGAACCGGTGCTTTAGGAGCTCCTTGTGTTCAGGGAGAGTTGAAACTGGCTGATTGGTCCAGTGAGGCTCAGCAGCAAAGACAGATCTCACATCGGGACATCTGCTAAAGTGACGACAACACCAATTCTTTGCACAATTAAGAGACATCTCGCAACCGTTCGACTTAAGGACTATGGTTTTTAGATACCATTGAGAAAAACACAGTTGTACCTTAACATCAGTTAGAAAATACAAATAAATATGCTAATTGATGGCAAACAACTGGAAACTCAGTAGCCACTTTAAAGGTCATGCAGATTCGGAATACATCCTTTTGTAATCTTAGACAAATTTGCATTTCCTGCACATGCTACACCACTGTTAGAAAGAATAGTGTCTTTACCAGTCAAGAACACCCCCTCAGATTCACCTGTAGTTAGTTAAGCTACTATACCAAACTGTTCCATGACAACCGTCCTGTCGGTCAGAGGGGAGCCAGAGAAGGAAAACACTTGTCAACATTAAAGTAATGCTGACCACAGCAGGAGAGAACTTTCAACAAGCTCCCACTGCACTAGAGAGAGAACAATGCCAGGTACCAGGCCAAAGCCGTGCTTTCCTGTTGAGGGAAATTCAACTTCTCTGCCACTCAAAAGGCTCTTGAAGCCCAATTACTTTATGATCAGAGCCACGTCAGTAACTGCACTTTGAATCACAACTACAATGAGTTCACTGGTGCTGTTGATGAGTGACATTAAGGTTTTAGGGGAGGCTCTGTAGCCAGGACAGTGGAATCCACTCCAAGACCGCCTGGCACAGGTCAGAGAAAGACCCACAACTGGTCCACTGGAATCTGGTTTTGCTACTTTCTAATCACAATCCCAAACAATTTGTATTTCAATCCATGACCAGATGCCTGGCCTATTATTCGAGCTACGCCTTTGCCAGCAAGATTGAGCCTGCCTGCTACAAGGCAAACAAGTACAACTCCAAGGAACGTTGCTTAGAAAGTCCTGTATGTGAGGAACTCTTTCATTTTCTTGGGTATTGGCAGTGCTAGGACTTGGTAAGTTGTGAGGAAACTTCGGAGGGCTTTCCGGCATAAGTGCTTCAGTGACGATAGGACCCTAGGAGCCGTCCAGAACTGGACGTGGCCATCTCTTGTCCTGAAACAAAAGAGAAACCAGGGAGTTGAGATAGACGTTGGAAGTGTGCTTTCACTGTGATGAATGTAGGTGTTTCTACTTTGACTTGAAGTCTTAGAAAAGGTTCTAAGGGTGAAAGACAACACTGACTGGAAATGGAGGTAAAGGCCATGGTACTGATGGGACTGTAAGAACCCAGCACACTTTTGATGTCAACTCACTATCCCTTCAGCACAGAAATTTCAAATCAGACTAGCTATGAGTTCAAATGTAACAGGGAAGAGTGCCACCTACTAAATTAGTTATCTGCAAAGGTGGTCTCTTTGCCCTCAATGGTTTCCCATATAAATTCTTGATGTTTATGTCCTCTTGCGAACTTGTCCCATTAGATGGTTTGAATGGTTTCCCATATAAATTCTTGATGTTTATGTCCTCTTGCGAACTTGTCCCATTAGATGGTTTGAACTGTAGATCTTTAATTAACCATAAAACCAAACCACACTCACTGCCATCGAGTTGGATCCACCTCATAGCAACCCCTCCTTGGGTTTCCAAGGCAGTATCACTACAGAAGTAGACTGCCCAACCTTCCTTCCGAGGAGTGGCTGGTGGGTTTGAACCACCAGCCTTCTGGTTAGCAGTCAAATGCCCTTGGCACTACACCACCATAGCTCCCAGATGTTTAATCACATTTAGTTTAAATATCAAGAGGAAATGATCAACTATAGTGGCAGAATGGAATATCAGAATTTTATATAGTGTTGGATGCCCTTACCAAAAACCAAACTCAAAGGCTATCTAATAGGCAAGAGAATTCTACATGCTTTCTTTCCTTAAAAAGCTACAGAAACTGCTACCCATCTGTCCAACCAACATACATACCCTGTGGCAATAACTCCACCATGTGGAAAAAATGTGCAGCAAAGACCATTGGTCATAGGAGCAAATGCAATTGGCGTTTTCCGTTCCAGGGCCCAGATCCTGAGGAGTCTGGACAGGAGAGAGAGACACATTTACAGCAGGCCCGACCAGGCCAGGCCACACGGGCAACGCTGCCATCTGGGCAAGCACCTGCTCGGAGGCTGAGCCAGCAGCCCCCCCCTCACCTGTCATCCGCCACTGTGGCAAGGTATAGGCCTTCAGGAGAGAAGCACACGGACCTCAGCGAGCTGATGTGGACGTCACTGTCGTCCATGGGGGGGTCAAGCTGGGTGTGGCTGAGGAGGAAATAAACCGGATGGGAGACCTGCAGTGACAGCCACTCCACTCCACCCGACCTCCAGGCAGAAGACCAAAGTAGGAAAAGGTTCAAGGTGCACCTGTGCCCTTCTGGAAAACCTGGGATAAAGCATCCTTGAAAAAGAACATCTGAGAAGGCTCCGAGTGAGTGTCTTGCTGAGAGTGCTGAAGGGTTACCAACACCTCCTTGTGCTAATTTTCTTAGGCAAAATAGGTCAACCCTCACTTTAATGCCACAGTAGAAACTGAAAGTCTTTTTCAGACTAAGATACATGATAACTGAAGGACTGCCCATTATTTGCTTCATAAAACGAGACAAAGGAACAAGCAGACCAAGTTTGTGAAAGCATGAAAATTCATTCTGGAAATAACAGTTTTTTGTGAGAGGGATATTCTGAACTTGTTAGTACACTTATTAGTGAATGGAAATATAAAGTCCCTTTGAGGTTTCATAATGCTGAATCCAAAGACGTCCAGCAGCTGCCTCGATCAGACTTGAAAACACAGGGTCTAAAGAACACTGACAAGTAAACACTCACTCACATGCACCCACTGCCTCAAACCTTTAAGACAGTCCCAGATCCCAGAGCTACTGTGTCTTTTTACCCCAGCTGTCCCTTCCCAGGCCCCAGACTCCAACAAGGACATGTCTGATCTGGGACAAGTTTCTTATCAGTCGCCCCCAAGGAAGTCTGAAGCAGGGGTTCGGTCCTTACTGGAGTGACCTTAGCTTCTCGCCAGTGTAGGGGTCCCACATGATCACGTCAGTGTCGTAAGAAGCCGTGACAAGCAAGGCAGAGTCAGGGGAGAAGTCACAAGAGACGACGCTGCTTTGGTGGCCTTCTAGCTTCCGGATTAATGTGTAGGACCGCATGCTCCATAGAAAGACCTTTAAAAACCAACAGGTGCTTGGTTAGGGGCGGGAACCAAGTGATCAAAGTGAGGAAAAGGCACCGCCTGCATTTTCCTCTCCAGTGCCCAGCTCCATGGCCAGGTGAAACCCAGTCCCTCCTCCGTTTTTCCACAGCTCTGCCAAATGTATCCTATCCCACAGGTTTAAACAAAGCAATGGGGTGTGGATTCTGGAGGCCTGACCAATGGACGTGCTCATGGAGCTTACCTTAACTCAGCTGCTGCCGAGTCAGTGCCACCCCTCGCCCCTGAGGGTCTCAGAGCAGACCTGTGCCCCAGGGTTCTCAGAGGCTGACTTTTCAGGAGATTGCCAGGCCTTTCCTCTGAGACACACCTGGACTTGACCTTGCAACGTTTTCCATCAGAAGCCGAGCGTGTTAATCGTTTGTGCTATTCGGGGACTCTGGCACTTACTTTGAGTGAGAATAAACCAGGCCAATCTCAGCAAGACTGCGGGCTGCAATGCACCCCTAGAGGCTTTGAGTCTCCTCACTGAGCCCTGTTTGCAAACAGGGTAGTATGTGTTGGGGAGGACCTATGTCAACGCTCCACTTCAAACCAAAAGCAGACGACAGAGGTGACCTCCAAGGCTACCCCCAAAGCAGTGGCACCCTGGCTTGCCATTTTACACTCCTCTCCTGCTCCTTGTTTACGGAATCATGGAAATCTGCTCAAAGACTGTTGTCTGACCTAGCTCATTATTTAAACCTTTTTGAGAATCTTGAAACAAAAGCACACTTTTATTTTCTTTCCTTTAAGACAACTTGTTCCAAACCTCAAATGAATGATTAACCAACGGGGCTGTAACAGATAGTGAACTCTCAGCTTTCCCGAGTCAGTCACAACAACCGACTCCATGCAAATACAAAACTCAGACACAAACAATCTGCTTCCAAAGGCTTTTGAACTTCCAATGATTGTTTTTTTCTCTTTAACAGACAGGATTACAGGGCAAAGGTCAGTAAGTAACTGTGAGTAACTGACAGTTCAAACTGATTTGAACTGGAAATATTAATTAGATAACATAACTAGTTCAAAGGAAATCTGGATCCATTGTGGGTTACAACTTATAAAATCTTGGACTTCAAGGGTTTCAAAACTAAAAAATCACCCTTTACCATTTTGTAAAGGCACACAGCCCTCTAATGATAGAAGCAACTTACTTTCAAAGACCTCCTCTCTTTTGGTTCACATTAAAGTGCAGATCAAAAGGGGATCTGCAGGAGGAGGCCGGGGTCCACCATGCCTTCTGCTGGTGCTGATGTGCAGACGGGTTTTGAGAACACTTGGTTTATTTACTCCTTCACACAAGGCTGCTCCAAACCTCCAAGTCTCATTGAACTAAAGCCACAGACGCAACGGCAGCCACCATTTGAGACTTACACCTCCAAGTCTCATTGAACTAAAGCCACAGACGCAACGGCAGCCACCATTTGAGACTTACACACTTCTCTCCAGCGGCCACCATTTGAGACTTACACACTTCTCTCCAGCGGCCACCATTTGAGACTTACACACTTCTCTCCAGCGGCCACCGTTTGAGACTTACACACTTCTCTCCAGCGGCAGAACACAGCATACTGCAGTCCGGGGAGATGGAGCAGCAGTACACCCACTGCAGATGGCCCGATAACACTTGGATCTGTTTACCTGGCAGAAACAAGTAGTAAATGGTGAGCCCACACTTAAAATGACAAAGCAGGAAAACAGAGGACTGACGGTAATGTCCGTACCCACCCAACACATCAATCTGGTTCTCTATTAGCTGACGCTAACTGCTGTCAAGTTGATTTTGACTCATAGCAACCCTAAAGGACAGAGAATTGCCCCATAGGGTTTTGAGAGCTGTAAATCTTTATGGAAGCAGACTGCCTCATCCTTCTCCCATGGAGCGGCTGGTGGTTCGAACCACTGACCTTTCAGTTAGCAGCCTAGCACTTTAACCACTGTGCCACACAGGGTCTTTCGCTGAACCCAAAACCCACTTTTTAATGCACAGAAAGAAACATGGTGGGACTTGTCATTGAAACACCTGAAACCTATTAAAATGATATTCTGATGCCCAAGGGAAATGACTGCCTTCCAGATCATCAGAAACTACAGGACAAGCAAGGCAAGGACACATATAACCAAGGTGCCCTTCAGTGGCAGACAACAGTCTTTTCAGACCTCCAGCCTCGAGGACTCTGAAGTAGCCTTCTCAATTTTGAGACAGTTTTCATCTTCAATTCTCCCTCCTCTGCACTGATTTCCCATCATCACAAGGATCCAATTCCAGACTCTCACCCCCTCCAGCCTCTGCTAGGGCATCTAGATAAGCAGGCGTGGCATCTTTAGGGACATGTGCCTTGGAGCCAGACGAACTTGGCTTTACTCAGTGCATAACCAGATTACTCATACAATCTCTCCAGGTCTGCTTTTACAAAAACTGAGTGTTCATTCAGGGTGAATGGCTGAATGAACGATGATATACCCACACCTTTAAGGCAGATGGTATCAGAGCTATAGTTTTTCATGGGTCATTGTTCAATGAAAAGCCACATGGAGGAAAAAATTATGAAGATCATGATTACATTTTTCATTTCACAAAATGATCCCGTGTGTGCGTGTGTATTGTTGCTGTCAGTTGTCGACAATCTGATTCCAACTCATGACAACCCCATGTGTGCAGAGAACTGCTCCAGAGGGTTTTCAAGGCTGGGACCTTTCAGATGCAGGTGGCCAGGCCTGTCTTCCAAGGCACCTCTGGGTGGGTTTGAACCGCCAACCTTTTGGCTAGCAGTTGAGTGCTTAACTGCTTGTGCTAACCAGGGACTCCTTCTGCCTGGTATGGGGTTACACAATTAAGAGAATAAAATGGAAGGTCTTACACTAGGCTCTTCACGTGTGTTACCAGGCTACGGGGGATGGGGTAGAGAGGGGATTGCCAGAGGGGAAAATGAAAGAGAAAAGAAAAAGCAAGCCAACCAAAAAAATGCAAAAGGAAAAAGTGAATTGTTAATAAACACATACACGGTGATACGTATGTGTTTATGAAGTTCATGGGTACGTGTGAGTATACATAAACTGAAAAAAGATTTTTTTAAGTCAGTCACGGTTTATCAGCTGCCTGCCAGGGTAGTTGTATTAATTTAAGTCAGTGCCACAGGGCAGTGCCCAGTACCTGGGCACACGCCTTTCTTCCCCTCCTCTCCTTCAGTGCCCTCCTGGCGGGCCCCATCCATCCCACCCACTCTCAGCCGTCCCCATCTGGTCCTCCCTTGCCAACACCAAAGGATTTCCACAGCAGCTCTCAACGCCTTCCTCAGACGGTGCGGTCTCTGTGCACACGGTACAGCAGCTCTGGGCTGGAATCCTTGAGCAGCCTTCCCAGTCAGCAGCCTGTCATGGACGGTAGGATGGCAGGGGCAGCAGTAACGGGCAGACACTGTCTACAGCGTTTTCATGGCAATTAGAGCCCTTCAGATGAGGACCCCACAAGGGGTAGGGCTCATTTCTGAGAGGTCAGGGGAGAAGACCCCTCTCAGGGCTGTAGGGGCCGTGCCACACGGTGCAGGCAGGAGGCCAGTGCCTTTGTCTGCGCAGGGGCGTGTGCCTTGTCTTGAACTGTCCATGCTGCCGATTCTTCCTTCCACCTGCCCCAAATCCCTCTGTCCCTACCCACTTTGGAAGAAATGACATGGTATAAAATAGAGGGTCAGTGAAAAGAGATGGGCTGATACAGTGGCAGCACCCGTGGGCTCAGGCACAGCAAGGAGTGTGAGGATGCAGGACTGGGTAGTGTTTGGCTCTGTCGCACACAGGGCTGCTGTGAGTCGACGCCCACTCAGCAGCACCTAACGTTTCTCCGTCATAAGGAACCCTCTACTTGTAAAACTAAGGGCACAACATCAGCTGCGTCTAGGTCAGTGGTTCTCAACCTGGGGAGACTCTGCCCCTTTGGGGACATCTGGCAGTGTCTGTAAACATTTTTGGTTTTCACAACTGAAGGTAGTCTATCGTCATTAGTTGTCAGAAGTTATGGACAGACCCCACCACGAAGAATTCTCCAGCCCAAAATTCAATACTGCTGAGATTAAGAAACCCTGTTCTAAACCATGTATTTTCAACAAGAGAGAGATCACATTTAAAGGGGCAAAAATTGGTTCTTGGGGGCCAAAAGTATCTTATTTTTTTAAATGTACAAGCACAGACATACATCCAATACATAACCGGGTATTAGTATTAAAATCTCATGAGGGGTGGTGATTAAGAAAAGGTATCTGAAAAGGTTCCTTAAGAGACGATAATGGGGAAAAAAAGTTGAAAAACATCGTTCCAGACGAAAAGGACACTGGCAAATTAGTTGTTTGGGTTTTTTTTTAATATTTGATTTTGGTTTGGATGAAAGTTTATAAAGCAAATTAGTTTCTCATTTTTGTTTTGTGACATTCACTGCAATCTCCTCAATGTAAGAGCACACTTCTCACCGCCTCCCTGGGTTCCTCGTTTCCATGGGTCCACCTTGCCTGCCCCCTCTTGCTTTCTGAACTTAGGTTTTGGGGCATAGAGTAATTTTGAAGTTGCCAAGTAGTTCCATCACCTACCGTGTTTGTTCAGGTCCCAGATGCGAAGAGTCTTATCCCGCGACGCAGACACCAGAATCAAACTGCCACTGGGTGTGAAGCTTAGATCCCTCACGACATCTTGGTGGCCAGAAAGATTCAAGAGCAGGAGCCCTAGTGCAGGAGTAGGAGTGCTTGGTCAGTGGGAGGGGTGTCACCCCACCTGCCAGTCACGGCTTTACCCTCAGCCATATCAGGATGTGCACACGAGTCGCCCAGCACCTCGTGCCAGCCAGAAATGACCGACCTGTCTGCACCTCCCAAATCTTGATCTGCCCGTCGTTGAGTCCTGTGGCTAGGATCAGGCATGAGACGTCTGGCACTTGGGGATGGGGACGCGCCCAGAGCCTTCTGTTGGGTGGAGATGGCCACGGGCTGAAGGCCAAGCCCCAGACAATCTGACCACAGTCCAGAGTCTTCTCCTTTGGGCTGCCTCGCCCTTTTGGGTCATTTTTGCCGTTTCGGCTTTTGGCTTCAAATCCTTTAGGGATGCTGGGGGAAGAGAAGATTTCTTAATGAGTCTGAAATTATTACCAGGTCAACTAACTTTCTATCCTGGGCTACGTAAGACTTTAAGGTCCTAGAAACAAACTGGCCTTCAGTGGATCCCGGGTGACTTTTCTTTTGAGCAGTTGTGTAATAGAGGCTTCACTGGTCCTGGCTCATCCCACCTGTGATGGCCCCACGATGGGATGACCTGCTTTGAGGAATAACTAGACTACAGATGCTCCAGGGAGACATGCATGTGCTCAGAAAGTTCTCTTGGGTTTTGATGCATGGAAAGAAAGATGCAAGCGTACTGCAGCTCTGGAATTAGGACAGACACAAGGCCTGAATATCCATCTGCTATTCTCCCCCTTATCTCCAAAACTAAACACCTGTTGCCGTCCAGTCGATTCCAACTCACCGTGACCCTACAGGAGCTCTGGAATTAGGACAGACACAAGTCCTGAATATCCATCTGCTATTCTCCCCCTTATCTCCAAAACTAAACACCTGTTGCCGTCCAGTCGATTCCAACTCACCGTGACCCTACAGGACAGAGTCATCTTTATGGAAGCAGTTTGCCATCTCTCTCCCATGGAGCACCTGGTGGATTTTGAACCACCAACCTTTCAGTTGGCAGCCAAGCGCTTTAACCACTGCCATAAATAGGGGTCCTTTAGTAAGTCCCAAGGGTTGGAAAAGAAATCCCTTTCTTGCCAATTCATGTTCTTCGGTACATGTGAGATCCTCCTTCACTCACCGTGTTTCCATCAGTTAATGAGGAAGAGGCTCTTTCACTTACTTCCCTGACGGCACATCTACCAACAGGAACCCAATCACAGCTGTTCAGAGGTGCATCTGAACTGAAAGATCTCTTAGCTCAACCATCCCCTTTTACATTCCACTTACGGTGCAGGAGAGGCTCAGATTAGCTAAGTGAGGCTCACGCCTTAAAAAGCAGAGCACTGCCCACCGCTCAGCCCTGCAGAAAAGGTCTCTAAGGCATGAGTACATAAGCCTGGGGCTCTGCCTGAAACACACATGTACTCTGTCTGAGGTACGTTTACCACTACAAGTAATAAACCCTACTTTTCTATGTGACTGACCACACTCTGCTGTACAGTTAACTCACTGATGAGATTTAAACAAAACAAAATGGAGACGATCCAGCTGGATCTCAAGGTGAGTTCAGCTTCGGTTCCATGGGAAAGCCTACACTCCAACATGTATGCGGCTGAACCTCTTCACACACTACGCGAGATCCCCTCAAGCTCTGAGTCCTATTTTTGTCAATGGTGTGGTTCAAATGTTTTAAAGCATTCTAACTAATCTAGGTGTTGGTTTTCTCACCTCTAAGATCAGGAGGAAATGAGGAACGTGTAGGTCCCTTCAGCTCTAAAAATCTGTTACAGTCACGTGTCGCTTAACGGCCACGATACTCTGTGGACTTGAGGTGATTTGGACATTGTGCAAACACCATATTGTAGTCTGGTCCTGCTTTTTCTTTAAGTACCTGTATCAAGCCTCATGCCTCAGCAATGATCATCAACTGCTAAAAAGGATCTGCTTTTGTTTGGTCCTCAACCCTCCTCATTAGCACATCTCCATAACTGATAAAGGTCCCTCTTGCATTTTCATTAGCAGTTCTGGTGGTGTAGTACCTAAGGCATTTGACTGCTAACCAGAAGGCTGGCGGTTCAAACCCACCAGCCACTCCTCAGAAGGAAGGTTGGGCGATCTACTTTCATAGTGATAACTGGCTCGGAAAACCAAGGAGGGGTCGCTATGAGTTGGATCCAACTCCACAGCAGTGAGTCTGGTTTGTTTGTTTTGGCATTTTCATTAACCTTGTAGCTTTCAGCGGAGCTGATCTTTAACAGCTTGGAGAATTTTCTCTTTCTTTTTGAGGATCATTGTAACCAGTGTGTGTGACATGCCTAAATCCAAAGCAACAGCATACGCTGATTTTTCACTTTTGTGTTGCTTAATGACCTTTTGTTTCACTTCCAAATGGATACCTCTCCTTTGCCCCTTGCTGCTGCTTCACTAGCACTGATTTTTTGAAGCCATGATGCACTTCACGGTAATACTTTTTCAAAAGAAAATTAAACATAGAGACAATGCAACAATACTCAAGACACATGAGATACACTAGATGCTGCTGTCTACGAGTCAAAGCATACACTGTTATACAGTAAACTTTTTAGATAGAAAGTACAGTACATACATAAGCCTGTAACACAGGCATTTATTATGATTATCAAGACACATAATATAGGTCATATACATACTGGACCATTATAACCAGGCAGCGCAATCACTTTGTATACAAGAAACACGAGACGTGTGCTGCGTGCAGGAAGCTACTGCATTCACTATGTACCATTCTCCAGTTGGGATTTCTGAACTCTATTAGAACTTTATGGGACCACCAAAAAAAAACCAAACTCACTGCTGTCAAGTCAGATCCAACTCACAGTGACCCCTCCTTGGGTTTCCCAGGAGGTATCTCTACAGAAGTAGATTGCCCAATGTTCCTTCCAAGGAGCAGCTGGTGGGTTTGAACTGCCAGGCTTCTGGTTAGCAGTCAAGTGCCTTAGGAACTACACCACCACAGACGTGGTGAAATGTTGCCCAAACAGACGTTATGCAGCACATGACTACAGTCTAAATCAGAGGCTGGCACTATGGCCCAGGCTGGCAGTCAGTTTTTATAAAGAAAGTTTTACTGGAACACAGCCACACGTTTGTTTACCACTGGCTGGATGTTTTCATGCTACATTGCAGAGCTGAGTAGTCAAGACAGAGAATACAAGCCAGATCCTAGGGCCCACAAAGCCTACTTACCCTCGGGCTCTTCACAGAAAGTCTGCTTATCTCTGATCTCAATGACCAGTATGGTCTAAAAACCAATTTCTGGCAAAATAATCTGAGTATGATCACTAATGTCTTTCGACTGGGGATTTCTTACCGTGGGCAGTGCAGACCACCCCTGCCCACCCACAGACTGCCCAGCCTCGCCTGGCCCTGGCTCAAGTTTGCCATCGCAGGTGGAACACTCAAAAGGCAGGCTACACCTTAAGCACTGTGTTCTTTTAAAGAATTATCTATATGAGCTCAAACTGACAACAGTAACTCTACAGCATAGATGAGAAATAGAGGGCACCGCAGTCTATGGCAAGGAGTCCTGCAGGTGCAATGGTGAAGCGCTTGGACAGGTTGGTGTTTCCAATGCACCCAGTTATTCTGTGGGAGAAGGACCTGGGATCTACTTCTGTACCAATTACAGTCTAGAAAAGTATGAGGTAGTTGTACTCTGTCACACAGGGTCACTGGGAGTCGAAAGTGACTCATGAACACCTAGCAAGTCCAAGTCAATGATGGTGCAACAATATGGGTAGGGACAGCGAGAACGGTGACACAAGAATGTGATCAATGTCACTGAACTGTACATGTTGAGATTGTCAAAGGGGTGTATGTTCTGCTGTGTATATTTTCACCAAAAGTAAAATAAGTATTTACAAAAAAAGGGGGGGGGGCAGCCTACAGAGAGACTTTTGGCACCCCCAAATTTAAGGTTGAACATTCTTTTATTTTTTTTAGGTAAAAATCTTAATTTCATGTATTTTCCACAATTTAAAAAAGTTTTAAATGGAAAAAAAATTTAAATTTCACAGAAAACAAAGAACAAAAAACACCCTTTGAATGAGCAGAGAATATGTACGTGACTTTTATCTCCATAAAGCTTTATTAAAAACAATTTGAAAAAGAGAGTTTACCTCAGGGCTGACATAAACTTCTTAGGAGAGTTAACTTTCACATGTTCACCTCTTTCCCATTCTTCAGCAGGGAGAAGACTAAAGTAGGAGGAATGTGGGACCACACTGAAATCCCCTTCAGGAAAATGCCCATGGTCCCTGCAGTGTGAGAGTACTTACAACTGCTCCTCCAGAGGCCAGGGGATCAGCTTGACGATGCAGTGTCCTTGAGACCAAGCAAACCAGGAGCCATCAGGGGAGAAGGCGACACTCCAGGTCTCACAGCTCGACTTCCAATCAAACTGGTGGGGGCGCCCGGGTTTGAGCTCGGCCAGCAGCAGCGGTTCCTCTGGGGCAGAAGACAGCATGCTTCAAACATGGGCTCCCACTTCCCAGGAAAGTGGACAGGCTGGCTCCCAGACCACCTAGTGACTCAGACACTGCCTCCCAATGACAATGAGTGACACTTTCTGGACTCCAGGAGGGGAAGTGTCACATAAATGACCGGGAGCAATAACAGTAGCCACAGGCCACATACCACTGCGGTTACTCAGTTCTGGCACTCCTAGCTGCTGGTTAACCATGACTCAGACAGAGTAACCTTTGTCCGGGTGAACTAAGTGAATGGAAGTCTCATTTTCCTAAGAATGCCGGAAGAGGAAGAAAGTGAAGCAGCTACCACACAAGGAGTATGTTAGATGGTGCAGATTACAAGGCCCTGGCTCTGCAATGTTGTTGTTGTTGTTATGTGCCGACTTGGGTTACCGAGGCAGTATCACTACGGAAGTAGGATTGCCCAACCTTTCTTCCAAGGAGTGGCTGGTGGGTTTGAACTGCCAGCCGTCTGGTTAGCAGGCAAGTGTCTTAGCCACTATGCTACCAGAGCTCCCGGCTCTGCAATAGCTTCCTCTAAAGAATCTGGTGTCCCTGGATGGTGAGAACACCTAATGCGCTCTGCTACTAACCTATGGGTTGAGAGTTCTAGTCCTCTGACAGAGAGTTAGAAGAAAGACATGGTAATCTACTTTAAAAAATCAGAATTGAAAACTCTGTGGAGCACACAGTCACCATGAGCGACTCTATGGCAACTGGTTCAAAAGAACCTACTGCTGGATAAAAGGAGTCTCTGAAACTCATCAGCTCCCTCCCACCCACCAGCACCCTCCCATGTTCAAGGCTAAAAAGCTTCAGCATCTCGCCCTCCTTCCTCTTGCTCAAATCCGTTCACCTGGCTGCCTCCACCTCTCTTCCTTCCATCTCCTGCTGTCCTGGTTTGAACCATCACATCTTGCCCACATCTCTTGCAAGCCTCCTGATTGGTTTTCCTGTCCCTCAGGAGCACTCTAGGAGCTCTGGTGGCATAGTACCTAAGGCATCTGACTGCTAACCAGAAGGCTCAAACCCAGCAGCCAGTCCTCGGAAGGAAGGCTGGGCAATCTACTTCCGTAGAGATTCCCCCTCGGAAACCCAAGGAGGGGTCACCAGGAGTCAGAATTGACTTCACGGCAATGCGTTTCAGGTTTTTTTTTTTTTTTTTTAAGAGCACTCTCTGCTAAGCCACCCAGAGACCCTGCTAAAAATGAAACACACATCACATCATGCCCTTTCTTCCAAATACATTCCAAGGCTCCCAACTGCCTGCACAATAAAAGCAACTGGACCCAGCCTTCCAGGAATTGGCCCATAAAGTCATTCCGGCCTCCATTCCATCCCATCTCCCTGCACGCTACACTCTGGCTGCGTAAGACTCCCTGACACACATTCCCACCTGGACTTATTTTCTGCTCACAAGAATTCCAACCAGATTCACAACTAAGAAGCACATACTCTGATCTCACACTATCAAAATGGAAACGTCACCTTGGTTATTTCATTCTGTCCTGTTGTAATTAATTTCCCTTAGTCCCCTACCAGAATTAGGAAAAAAAAAAAAAAGTACTGCCATCGAGTCAATTCCGACTCATGGCTGACCCTACAAAGCAGAACTGCCTTTAGGGTTTCCAAGGCTGTAAATCTTTACAGAAGGAGACTGCCTCATCTTTCTCCTCCAGAGCAGCTGGTGGGTTCGAACCACTGAACTTTTGGTTAGCAGCAGAATGTTTTAACCACTGCTCCACCAGAGCTCCTTCCAGAATTTAAGCATCCTTCTTCAAACACCCCACCGCTCATCTGTCAGTGTCGTACTATGGTGGTTGGCATGTGGCTGGGATACTGGAAGCTAAGCCACTGGTTACTTCTAATACCAGCAGGGTCACCCACAGTAGACTGGTTTCAGCAGAGTTTCCAGACTAAAACATACTAGAAAAAAAGCCTCATGATCTAATTCTGAAAATCAACCAGTGAAAAGCCCATCGATCAGAGAGTTCTGGCAAGATGGCAGGAGAGGCAGACAACCCACCTGGACCCTCTGCAACAAGGCAATGAGGAACCAACTGAAACCGACCCAGAAGACGATCTCGGGACCCTGAGCGTTGAAAGGAAGGACAGAGGAGTAATTAAACACTAACTAGTACAAGAACCTGAATGAAACAGTGAGTAATGAGACAAACAAAGCGGCAGACTGCCAGCTATTCCGAGGGCATAACCATTTCGAGTATCTCCTAGTAGCAACCCAAGAATTGGCTCTGTTCACCAATGACCACATGGGCAAGGACTGCATTGGTACCTGACAACCAGAAAGGAAAACAGCAGAGGAGGAGACAAACACAACTATGGACTGCTGGTGGCTGTCCTGAGGGTGCACTCATTTTGAACATTTGCAAGTGGGGGCATAGCCATTTTGAATATATGCCAGGGGCGTTCTTACCTGGACAGCGACCTAAGAACAGGCTCCGCTTGCCAAGGACAGCATGGGCAACCGCCTTGGAGGCTGACGACTACAGAGGTGCAATACTCATTCCCCT